AATTACGGTGTCACAGTGCATTACAAATATCCTGACAGGAAGGACTTGTAACACAAGTTCTTAAACATATGACAACTATTGTGTCTGCTGATTTATTTCATAGCTATTTTAAGTAATTTTGCAGAATGTTTGTTTGTATAAACTTAACTTATCTTGCTCTAAATCCCATTTTTATCGACATTTGATAAGGACATAAGTTGTTGCGCATGATCCTGCATTAAGATATGCGCAATTGATTTCCCTTTTTTATTGGTGCGGTGCAAATGAAAAAAGTATTACAAAAGGTAAAAGAACAATTTGGTGCAAAGGCCAAATGACGCTCCCTTTCTATTTCATTAAGATAGTTAAGAGGTATTCCAGACAATCATGATGTCTGATGAGCTAGGATCTATTTTGTCGAAATTATTGTTTACATTTCCCTCAATGATGGCGTAAACAAAACTAAAATAGCCTCTAAGGTGTCATAGTAAATTAGACTAGTTTTAAAAATTGGGGTTGTCACCAAAAACTTATATTTTAGAAGAAGGACATACGTGCCTGTGTTGCTTGGTATTTCAGAATAAGAAAATGGGAAAATGATATAGAATGGAGGAAAATGAACCATTAAAAAAATAAAAGAGATTAATGGAAGACAAAATAGGGAAAAGAGACAAAATGGCAAAAAAGTATAGAAAAAAGAAAGAAAGAATCCTCTGTCTGATGTATGACAGACCAATAAAAGAAAACAAATGACAGACAGCAACTAACGACGCCCTCTGAATTATCGCTCCTAAATTGGGACGGGCACATACAAATTTAGGCAGGATTCAACATGTTTCTAAGAGCTAAACCATCCCCTCTGAGTGAGAACATGCAAACAAACTATAAAAATTAGTCGGAAATGGCCTGACTCATCAGAACGGCTTGAAGCACAAACACATTAAGACCAAAGACACAACTTTTCGATATAAATGAACTTGCAGTTGGTGAGACCTAAATCACGGTCAGCCATACTCAAAATTTAATCAGTACATGTACAACAGATTAAGTATAAAAACTATTTAAACAGTCTATGATGCTAACATTCAAACAATCATTTAAAACATACAGTACTAATCTAGAATGGAGCAACTGTTCAACATACAGGGGCGTAGCTACCAGGAGGCACGACAGCACGTGCATCCACGTCGTTTTCACACAAACAAACAGAGAGAGAGAGAGAGAGAGTGAGGGACAAAGTTAACATATAGGAATCGGTCTGTCTGTGTATGCATTTTAAAAACTACACAAAAGAATAAAAGCAAGAGAAATACAGATGCAGCGTAATTTTTAATCCTGTAAAACATGTATATGTACGATAAAAACATACAACTGGTGTAGACTTAGCTGAACTTTTTATATTACGGGCATTGTTTAGAAAATACCAGCTACATAGTTGTCGGTACCACAACAATAACGTATACTCGCTTTGAGTGCAAAAAAAAATATAATCCCTTTAGGGTTAACCAAAACTTGAAAATTATTATTTTCCGCTTCGCCCCAAAGCCCACATCTTACTAGAATGAAGGCTCTTCAACTCGTATCGATCCGGGAATAATGACTGTTACCTTGTGAACTAGTTCAAAATTGACAAGTATGTAGGTCCTGATAACACGAATAGTTCATTTTTACATCACGTCAACGTATCTCGTCCTGTGTGCATGTAATATTTGCTACCGGACATTAATAACCATTCAATCAATCAATATAGTTTCCGTAAACTAATAGATGAGATGTTGAAACTGCTGTTATTATAATAAAAAGTACACATTTTCCAGGACATGTATTACGTTTTTATTTATTTTACAAAAAAAAATATCTTTTATATAGATTTGATAATTCGAAGTCGTTTCTATATGGGCCGGCTATACGAATGGTTGATTGTAAAAGCATTTAAATAACTTGTTAAATCTAACTCGTTTTACTGGACTATTAGGTCATTCAATTTTAAAAAGGACCTTCTGTCCGAGTCGGACACTAAACTGCTGATTCTTGTTCGAAAGATACACCAAACGTTTATTACACGTATCTTCACTGTTATCATCTAGATATTGCCATACAACTGGTCGATTGCATATGCATTTGTTTATTAGCTGGCTAATTAAAAAACGCAGATCATGAAAAAGATCGTGATCAATGTACCGTTTCCTCTGAAAAAGTTTATTAATTTCAACTTCGAATATTCCTAACTGCGTAAAATTCGAAATTTCCATCTCTCTCTCTTGTAGAGTTTACTCACAAAATTTTTCAACATTTAAATACATATGTTAAGCAAAATATATGAGAATGTGTCCACCAAGTATTTGGTATCCAATGATGTCTATGCTAACAGAAACTCCACATAAAGTATTGTGTTTATGTTTATGTTCATTGTTATTTTTTTTTTTAAATCTACTTTGCTCAATACATATACTAGCATATGGAACAAATCTCCGTGATTTTAAAAGCTTTCACGTACAAAAACGCAAACGACAATGTTAAGTCTTCATTCGACTCGAAGTTAAACAAAAAGTTGACCAAAAAACCACAACAAAAATGTCCAAGTTTTATTTCGGTTGTGAGCGTTTTGAAACGCTATATATGCGGAGCTTCCGGGGGGCTTCGCCAACACCCCCCCCCCCCTAGCCCCCTTACCAGGGTTTTGCCCTGGACCTACTGGGGGCCTTAGGCGGCCCCCAGACCCCTCGCCCTTTAGTCTGTGATTCCACTTCATTAAGAAGGTAGCTACGCCCCTGACATATGAATCAATGGATGATTGATTTGTCTAATAATGACTTGTGTCCAGAGGCAAATATGTTCCTGCATATATATCTTGGATAAAAACACATTAACAATAACTCTGCATGGTCAGATCAGAGTTTCGACTCCATTTTAATTTAAAAATCTGCTTCCAACCCTCCGACATCCAAACCAGATTCCTCGACTTATGGTAACTTTTCTTTCTGTTTTTTTTTTCTTTTGACTGATTTCTGGAATTTGTATGTTTTTATTTAATATTTGTTTGTTACTTTGTGGAATAGTCATCAACGGACTTTTGTTAATACATTCCTGTGACGCCCCGTTTATACGTCTTTTGTTGTGTACTGGTGTACTGTCGTAAATTCTTGGGGATGTCCGTTGTTATTCTGTGGTTTACGTGTTATAATGTACTATAATATTATTTATCTATGTATATCTCTGTCCTGAGTTATCTTGCGTTTATGTGTACTGTATTCAATTTTTAGCGGTTTTTTAAACATTGCCATATAAGCGGCAGGTTTGTCTAGCCATAACACCAGGCTCAACCCACCATGTTTTCTTAAAATGTCCTGCACCGATTCATGGCAGTTTTTATTTACAGTCCGTTTCTATGTATGTTGGCGTTTGCTTTTGTTGTCGTTCAGTGTTTCTGTTGTTCCATTGTTTTCCTCTTATCGTTGATGTGTTTCCCTCGGTTGTATTTTTTTACCCGGATTTGTTTTCGCTTGATCGATTTATGACTATTGAACAGCGCTATAACACTGTTGCCTTTATTTTGTACCTTATGATATAATAATTTATGGCCGTTCGACATAAGTTGTTGGAGAATATATAAATAAATTTGGGCAGCTAAAGTCAAAGAAAACGTTTCAAAATATTCCTGGAATCTTATTAGATTTTCATGCAAAGATAGTATTCTACTAAGTATTGAGCACATGGTAAAGTTTTTTATTTGTATTTAAGTGCTACGTTTACTGTTCTAAGAGTTTCTTAACACCAAAATCCTGTTACATCTGTTTTGAAAAACACGTTACCTGAAGGGTAAAGGGATTATTTGCGCTTTGTCTGTTTTAATTATTTTTTTCGTAACTGGTTTACAGTATTGTTTGTGTCTCGAACACGGTGTCTGAAAAAAATGAAAAAAACGATATTTGTACATATATCAATAGAAATTGTTAAAAAAAAATTTAATACGGAACACTATGACTGTCTTTAGGCAATGTGTTCAATGATACTTAAAGTAATGACAATAGATTAAAGAGAAGAAAGAAACTATATAATATCGTAGAAAACTACTACTTTAGACAGTCATGACGTTCCATATTTTAATATCAAATCCAATTAACTATCATTTAAGTGTAAAGACTAGTTATCAAATTGACAGATTCTACGCTTATAATTTATATATCCATGAAACAAAGAAATAAAGTATTTTCCGTATAAAAAATTTGATCATAAAATTGATTTCAAGTACACTTTCAATTCACACCAAAAAAATGGGGAAAGGTTTTTCTACCAAATTTTTATAAGGCTATCCTTGAATTAAAAAAATCATCAACATAAGCCGAAATGACGTGCACCTATGTAAATTATTCTATAGATAAATGGTCTGAAATTTACAACATGAAATGCAATAATCCAACAGGACAGGCATCCGTTCAGCTTTTCTTCCTTAGAGATAAGGTAGGTCGAGGGCGGATCTTTTAATTATTTGAATTATGTAAATTCAAATTATAAGATAAAAAAAAAAACTTGTGCATTTGTAATATTGTGATTGTAATTTGTTTCCAAATCAGTCGCAAATCCCTTCAGTTTGTGTGCTCATAAATACGTAAAAAGAAGAAAGAAATAAAAACGTGCATGCTTTCACGATTCATATTTAAACTTTAAAATAAAAACAAATATATTCTTTTTTTCTTTTTTTGTTTGTTTGTTTGTTTGCTTTTATTTGTAGGGGGAGGGGAGGGTGCATGAAGTACGATATAAGAAGGTCAACCAATCATAATTAGTCTACAGTCAACGATCACTATCGAATTGGAACATACTTTAGACCATCAAATAAGATTCTAAATGCTTCAAACATAATATATCAAAACAAATTTTTGTCAAAATGCAATGTCTTAATCAACATTTTTCTTCAATTTACTTATTGTTAATAGCTTTGCATATATCGAATTATGTGGGTAATAACTGTTTATTCAATATAAAGTATTATGTCACATCTGTTACTAGTTTAATGTTGTCGAATTAGTTGTCAAACACTAGCCATGAGGTCTGTGTTAGCAGTGTTGATTCTGGCTTGCACAATTCAGGCAAACAATCATTACCAGAACAGAAAAAGTAAGGTAAGTGTATTACCTGATTGACTGATTTTTGCTAAAATCCTTATTAAGGAATGATTGTGATTTTTTTTTCGGTTTATAAAGAAATTATATCGAAATATGTGGTGTCCACTGAATAACGAGCGTAGGTTATTTCCAATAGACATAAAAAAAAATGTTACTTTAATTCGTAAAATATTATTCTTAATTCCATTTTTAATGAATAAATCATAAACAAACGTTGACGGCGTCACAATCACATGACAAAAAATAAGTATATGAGATCAGCCAATCAGAAGACGTGTTACATCCAAAATTTAATAAATAGCAAACATTTCTTGCATATTTTTTAATCTTTAAATATATTAAACTTTGGTAAAAAAAAAAAAAGTATCGAAAATAAGAAGCATTTTATGACAATTTCCAATCTTCTTATAAGGCCGTAAAGTCTACAAAATTGATTAAATCATATATTTATACAATAAAATTTACCAATAAGTGTCCGATTCTTTTCTAATCAAAACAGAAAGTCTATATAAAAAGCTAACGCACATCAAACAAATGGATAACAACTGTTATATTCCTGATCGACTTGGTACACGCATTTTCTTATGCATAACAAAGTGGATTAAACGTGGTTTTTACAGCTAGCTAACACTTTCATTTGTATGATAGTCGCATAAAATTCCATTATATTGACAAAAATGTGTGAACAAAACAAACAAAAATAATAGGTGAAAATGTAAAAAAATAGGGGTACAGCAGTCAACATTGTTATATACTCTAAATCACCACTCAGACGAACCCTATATGTTTTTTGTTTGTGGAGGTGTATCTTTAAGTATCTTTGTAAATTGAATGTTATGTGGACATTGTTTTACCTTTTTGCCTTTTTTAGCACGGTTTACAGGTTTGTCTTAAATTAAAGGTTTTTAATTATCCTCTTGGTATTAGCTTATTTACACACACACATTTGTAAAATAAATATCAAATTCCTCATGAAAAGTTTTTATTCATCTTACCAATAAATCTTCTCAATTGATATACAACTGATGTAGCAAACGATCTGACGCCTATAAGAGGATTATATTTTACATTTTTCGTAACGATAAATATTAAACTGCACTTTTAAAAATCCGTGTGCATGCCCATTTTCTTTTTAACTCATATTAAACGACTTCCTGGTGATTATAATGTTAAGAAAATAAACGAACTTATGTATGTCTATCTACTTTACTAAGTCATATTTCCACATTTGATATTTATTAAGAATCCGTATTGTATAATGGACAAAAATATGTTATGCATTGATTGTTGAACAAAAATTTTGCTTTTAATTAAGTTCCTGGTTTTTGTTCCGAACTATATAGATCATGGTCTTGATTTCATCAATCAAGCACATATAAAATAAGCAATAGGTTTTTTTGCGACTCTGTCTGTAGTCTTTGTAGTATTGCTATCATTAACTCTAATAATGTTAAGTATGGAAACAGCACCGTTTTCGCTGCTGATTCGTCCTCTGATCGGACGAAAGTGTCATCGCTGATTTTCAAAAATACATTTGTGTTATATTTTGTGATGTACAGAGGGTGACAGTTAATATATATATAAAACAAAACTATCTTATAACAACGGTACAATATATCTATTATCTATAAGTAGTTTTTACTACAACATTTTTGTGTACATTAGAAAATATTGATATCTGCAAAATTTTCGATTTTTATTTTAAACTATACTATAGTGGTTTACTTTTACAAATTGTGACTTGGATGGAGAGTTGTCTCATTGGCACTCATACCACATATTCTTATTTCTATAGACCACATCCATCCATACTGTGTGGTTTTAAAGAGCTTACATATTCAGACCAACCAAATATATATGCGCACACCAGATACATAACGATTGACTTGGTATAATTTACAGATAATACCTCACATCGTTAAGATATAAATATTCATATAAATATAACCATGAAATTATTGAAGGGCTTAATATTGTCACCAATGCAAAATAGCCGTTCATTGACATCGGAAGCTTTAACTAATGTATGTCTGTTTATGACGTCTTTACTGGTAAATCCTTGGCTAAATATCAGATTCAGTAAATCTACGATTGAAGCTGTATTAGCTCGAGTACTATAAACATATCTTCTATTAACATTAAGTTTTCAGTTACCACATTTATACAACTTTGTGTACAATTATATGCAAGTGCAATCTACATTTCTTTAACATAATCAAAAATCAATATTTCATTATTCATGGATGCAAAATATAACACTTGAAATAAAAGGTAACAGCAAATAATATTACTGTCAAAGGATATGTTACACATCATGCATTTTTGGTGACCGTCGGTTATACCCCCCAAAACGGTTTGGGTCTCTTAATGTATTTATACTTGTATAGTGACCATTGACAATTCTTCTATTTTATTTATTTTTTTTTAGTTCAGATCATGTGTTTCTTTAAAGTATTTTATGTAATCTTAATTTCAAAGGGAATTGAGAATCTGAGAAAATACCCTATATCCCTGTACAGGATAAATAACTCTATATATGTACATTCTTTGTGCGGTTCAATGTCGAATTCATAACAATATATGGCATGGTTACTACATACAGAAAATATTTTGGCGAAAAAGGGAAAGGGAAGACGATATTTTAATTGCAGTTCATTTTGTGGATCTGGATAAAATTCATGACTTCTTTAAAAGTAATTCGTGTCTTTTGTAATCATTTTCTGTGGTATTTGTTTTTTAATTATATGTTCGTTATCATGTTATGTGGTTAACAGAAAACCACTGCTTTGAAACAGTCCTAATAGTTCTTATTAAAAACTTAATACGATTGCTTTTGATTTCTGAACGGGATCGCTTTTTGTTTCAGACACCGTGGTGGAGACACAAACCACCATGCATACCAGTTACGAAAAGAATCATTGAAACAGACAAAGCTCCTATATTCAATTTACCTTTCAGGTAATGTATTACGAATAAATGGGGACCGGGTTATTTTTCTTTAGAGAGAAATGGAAACTCAATTCTACGATATAGAATATGCCACTTAAAAATAAACGAGAGGCGAAAGGTACCAAACGGAAGGTTAAATGATTTAAAATGGCAAACACTAGCTGAGAGACGTTTGAAAACCACACTTATTTTATTTTATAAAGTAATACATTTTGTACACTGTCTTGTAGCCATTCCATCGCAAGTTCTTGAGCAAGCAGACAGCAGAACAAGACAAAACCATACACAGACATACAGAAATACAGACATATCCAAACTGCCACGGACACATACAAAGGGTCAAACTTCCAAGGACAATCACACAATGAAAATTGCTACCTCAAAATACTATCAAAACCACCTCTAATGACAGCTTCAGAGATCACCTAACATCAGCTGTTTTCTCCAGCTTCAAATAAACAAATCCAAATCAAAACATGTACATAACAGTTATATTTTTAATCACAATCTGTATATACAAACACTTAAATTGTTATAAAATATTTTTATGAATTTGTATACAATTTCGTCAATCGCGCATGCGCAACAACATGTATTCTTCAGTATGGAAGCCTTGTTTACCCAAAAAGAAAGAAGATATATGTGCCTGTCTCAAGTCAAGTGCCTTTAATTCAGTTGTCGATGGTTGCTATTTTTCATACTGTTGATCATTATTATTCGTTTGATACCAATTTCCGTTGATTCCGTAGATAAAAGTTATCCACGAATTCAAATATTCAACGAATTACAAATATATGGAATTTAAGGAATGTATGCAGACTTTAGGAAACCACGAAATTCAATTCCAACAAAAATGCAAGTTTTCCTTACTAGGTAAAATTGGTACCCACGAAAATAACTTGTTTAAGCTTAATGGTTTGTCATAAATCAGGAAGTAATTATTTGGTCTAAATTGTTTCTCATTTTGTTTTAAATGACTAAACGGTATGTATTTAACTTATTGTTGAAGGCCTTACGGTGACCCATTATTCCTTCCATCCACGTCATTGACTCTGGTGCATAGCCATTGGCAATTATACCAGATCTCGTTATATGATATAAAAACTCTGATACACAATGCTCGTCAACTTCCTACTTGATCTGGTCTTTCAATGCTTTTGATTCGAACGACACCGGTGAGTCTTATGTAGACGACACGCGTGTCTAGTGTGACAATTTATAAGCTTTTGTTTGTTTTTTGTTTTTTTGTTTTTTTTTAAGAATAGTTTCAGGCAAGTAAAAAAGAAACACATAAATAACAGATAAACAACACATCTGAAATTGTCAGAAGAATCCTGAATCTATTTCAACAATACCAGTTTCCGAAGGAAGTTACGCATCTCGATCCATTAGCAATTTACCTTTTCACATATCGTGAAAAATAATATAATGCAAATTACATCATTTATAATACGTTAGCGATAGTCAATCTTCTAATTATCACTTCCACTCGCCTGATCGGAAGTTTGTATACCTGTGGGCCTGTAAGTTTGATCTTCACTAATTTATTTATTTTTAATGTTCTATGACATTCTTCTCCATTCCCTTTTCGTTCGACCATTTAATTTTTTATTATTTATATGTTTACAGACCATTATTCTCTATTTTGTTTTGAATTCCATTCATTTTTCTACTATTATATACTTAGTATTGCACCAAGTATTATTCATTCTGTCATTTTAATCTAGACCAACCTGCATTTTCAAACACAGAATTATTAATTACTTACAATATCACGTAATCATTGGTAATATAGCTTTAAAATGAAAGACAGAAACTTGAAAACTCGAAAACAGCGGTGACATTGCTATACTAAATTAATCAGCGAAGCGTAACAGAGACGTAGTTGCAATGGTTTCAGAATTTAAAACACATTGACATGTTAGTCTTAGTGGACCATCCTATAAGAGTATTTATAATCACCCATTGTCTGTGATCGCATATTTTCAGGTCTTCCAAAAATTTTAATTTTTCCACGGACGAATATCCATTTTGTAATGCTGATAAGAAAATACATCAAAGGTAATTTGAATATTTTTCTCGGTTTTTCGAAAATGTAATTAGATAAGGTGTTGTTGATATGAAAATACATATTAAATTGTTGATATTTGAAAATATTTACAGCTTCTCCTTATTACTTTTAACTTTTATTTTTAAGTCAAGCTGTGTTGGCGGGAAATACTCTATACCTGTCAGGACAATTGGGAATAGATCCTGTCACACTTAAACTGGTTCCTGGTGGCATAATTCCTGAAACGGAACAGGTAAGACGACTGCTTCCTCTTAAATCGAAATGAGAACAAATCGTAAAAAAAGATTTTAACATAACTATTGTTTCTTGTTATTGTAACTGAAACAAAATTAGGCAAACAATTCAAATGCAAAAATTCAACATGATTATTTTCATCTCCTTTCATTTACTAACTTTTCATAGCATTTTTAAATGCGGCATAATTAGTTGCATAATTTCTCTTCCATAGATATTTAAGAATGTTGGTGCTGTATTAGAGGCAGCTGGGGGTAGTATGAAGGATGGTGAGTTCATTCCTTGTAATAATAGTAATAATGATAATAATGATAATGATATAATATTTTCCAACTATTTGGATAGGTTTTATTATTAATGGTTTCTGCTTGCTTAACGTCCAATGATAAATATTTGAAAGAAAAAAAGGTTTGGTAGGACGAGACAAATTAAATTCATTTAATGAAATAGCCAGGTTTCTAATAGACATTTTTCTACTTTTGTTTCGTAGTTAAAGTACATTTCTACTGAAAGATTTAGCAAATAGAAATGCAAAAATGGAAAAGTCGATAGTACTAAGCGTATCATGTGCATGTTTTTCCTGTAATAACCAAATTATGCCTATTTATGAAATACCAGATTACTTCTACGTCATTTAGTCTCTGGTAAAAAAATTGTCTAATTCATTGGCAATTATAGCCATCTGCTTATATATATATATATATATATATAAAAGTCTAAATTGAAAACAACGTTCAAACCTATGATTGCGTTGGATAAAAACATGAATTTTTATACGTGTGCATGTAAAACAAATATCGTGGTAGAGGGGTCTAAATACAGCACAAACAACAATTTCCAAAATATATATATATATTATCAGCTTTTAATACTGAATTATTTTCTATGCACATTTAATTATTGAAATCTATTTAGGGTGAATTGCGTTCATTTATAAATGAATCATTAATAAACTTGATAAAAAAGTAAAATAACAAAAATGCCGAACGAAAAGTCCTTAATAATATTAATCAAATGGCAAAGTCATAAGGTCAAACACATCAAAAAAATGGAAAACAACTGTCATATTTCTGACTAGGTTCAAGCATTTAGTTGTGAATTGTACCTGGTTTGATAGCTAGCTGAACCTCTCACTTGTATGACAGTCATATGGAATTCCATTATTTTAACAACAATGTTTGCGCAAAAACAAATAGACATAATAAGTAAAATGTCAGAAATCGAGGTACAGCAGTCATCACCACTGTGTTATAATCTTTATCATTTTATAAACAAATAACTAGTTAAACAAAGAAAAACAAGATGGCATAACGACAATCCATAGACTAAGAACATAAGCAAAAATGAAAGACAAGAATATAAAACTGGCAAAAGCACACAAACACGATGGCGGAATGTATAAAAAAACTAGCCACGTCAAAAGTATATAACCAAAACGGACTAAATAATAGATGTTAAAAATAGACAAATAAAAAGAACATTATAACACGTCATTAAGATGATAAAGAACGACAGTACCTTGAATTTAAACATCAAGATCACCATGTATTATGTGTGATGTTCACACGGAATATATATCAACAAGGTCTTCCGATGAATTTATTAGAATAGGACGAGATGTTCTTTGACATACCCTCTGGTTCATCATCTTTCTGGTCAGACACGTGTGACGTTTGATGAAGTCTGAGTAGAAGCTGCAAGGTCTTAAATAGCGAATGAGTTTGGAAAAGTCTATCCAATATCATATATGATATACATCTGGTATTGAAACAAAATGCCAAACAACGATTATATACATAAATTAGAACCGTATTTTGTTATGTTTCAGTTGTCAAAGTAACTGCTTTTTTGACTGATCTAACAGAGTATTCGAGCTTTAATGCAGTCTATATGAAATGTGAGTGTACACTTTATATTATGAATGAACTCATTTATTAACCTGAATAACTCAGCATCGTCTGTGTACTATCGTTTCGCGTTAATTGAGTGGTCGTAGTAAGGAGACTGGATTATTCGAGTTACTCGTTAATCAATTTTGAATATACCAACCAAGAGGAAACAATCCGCTAAACAAAACCACATAACCTAAAATATAGTAATATTACAAGCAGTGTGTGAATTTAAACTTGTTCCATTTAATATCGAAAATATGTGGACATCATTTGTCCAACATCCAATTAATTCAAAATCCAATCAACCTTAGCCCTTACGGTGCGACGGCTTTATATTAGTATGATATACCATCATAAGACATTTAATCAAGAGGATAGAAAACACTTAAGTTGAATCGTAACAAATAAGCTGCGTTTTAATAGCATACTATAATTAAAAAGACATCAAGAGTCTCAATGATCAAAATAAGTATTTGTCAAACTGCTATGTATCCAATGAAACTATTTCTGTAAAGCATGTGGTTCAAATATCTTGAATGTTTTTTACATTTTTGTCAACAGTTCAAAGAAAATTGTCATTTTATTTTTGAAAATTAAACAAGCCACATGTATTTTAGCCCCACTTAATTATGGAACCCAAATACTCTGACAATGATTGATATTTGTGATATAAAATTTCCTTTTTAACGTATGTAATAAAATGATTGATCAACTAGTAGTAGTAGGACCTCATCAAACAGTTAAAACGTAGAGATACATAGATACACTACATGGATTATGTCATACTGTTTGAGCATATTCAAAATGGTTCTTCCGACACATGAAATACAAGGAGATGAGTGTTTAATGTCCAGTGGCTATGAAATAATGAGTAACATAGTCGTTGAACAAAGGATTAAAGTAGCATTTGTTCGTAAAGACCAGTAAAAAAAAAGATACGATAAAAGTAGTCTACAAAGTATAAATAACATATGAAGAAGGATTTAGTAGCTGAACCACATATAAAATATTGTAGTAGGATTTAATAACAGCACAACCCCATATAAGATTGTAGCTTGTACAAAAACAACAACAAAGCTAGCCAGAAGTCTAAACAAAGTCGTGAATAAATTTAATAAACATGATATCCCATCAACTATTGGCATTCCTCAGCAATTATCTAGGCCAAAGTAACATTTCGATATAACTAAAGACACCCAATGACTTTGAAAATGAAAATGCGATGTAGCAGAGTAAACATCATCAAAGCTTTTTGAGCGCTAACTCTCCTCTTTTTTGTATATTGACCTGTTCATTGTCCAGAATGAGTTGTAGTAGTGATTTTTTTAAAGAGTTTTTCTTATGTATGTATTTTATAATATTGCATAATTTTCAGTTTTCCCAAGGAAATTTCCTGCTAGATCATCTTGCCAAGTAGTAGCAATATCACAAGTAAGTGATTTTATCTTAATATTTGAGGTATTGAAGTAATTGGTAGGTAGATTTCCGACTTATAAGCGGAAGTGTGCTCCTCGTAACCACTATGGCTGATAAGTAGATTTTTTTTTAAAACGACGTCCTTTACTTGTTAACTGCATATCTTAGTTCATTTTAAATTCTCAAGGGTTCGCGTTTCTATCAATCATTGTCTTCGGAATGCCGTACATTAACGTCACAAAACATGATCCATAAACTACAAAATTCATTTGGTAATTTATCAAACATGTCATAAACTTGCTGTTTCAGAATCTAATGCATTCTGGACAATATTCTCAAAAGTAAATACCAACACGTCGGTATGGTTAAAAACGTCATACGCAATGGAAAGTCAACCAATGATAGACGCTATTTTTTTTAGAACGAACAATTAAATTGTCCAAAGCCATTTAAATTCTTAACCGGTCAATGGTCAAATATGTTTGAATCGTACATGTCATATATTTTTGATGTTCTCTGTACATTCCCTTATACTGTCATAATAATAATTAGATACATGTACAATGTATAGGCGTCAATTGCAACATGCGCCTGGTTAAACACAGATAGCTGATACTTATAACTTATTTATACAATCATATTGTCCTGAATGAAGAATTGATTTATGTGTATCTATACTTTATGGATTGACAGCGTCTTAGGCTTATATAATTATAACTTCCAATCTGTTTTGGAAGAAAGTATTATTTCACACAAGTGTCTACTATTGATGGGCGTCCCTGTTTTGCTTAATTGTGTTCAACTCGAAGTTTTTTGTACAGTTGTTTTTATTTTTTGTCTTTGTGTTATGATCTTTAAATATGATTTCTTTTTTCAGAAGATTTGATTTACGTTTCAAAATGCTGGTCATAATATTTTAGCATTTATATGTCTTTGCAATAGTATTATGTACACAAAGGAAAAAAGGCATACAATATATATAATTGTATCATTTGTTCTGAATTTCTACCGGTATACGTATTATCATTACATGATTACAGCATATTATAAATAAGAACAAGTTGTCTCAATTTATATTTTGAGCAGGTCTTGGTTAATTTTTTAATGTATTCAATGTAACCAATAACTTAAAAGTTTGTTCAATGTTTTTCAGGGTGCTCAGTTAGAGATTGACGTTATAGCTGTTATTGATAAGTGCTGATTGCGACGACGAGTTGTGACAGCGAGACACAACTAAACTTCAAGAATGCTATAAATACAAGTTTTAATAAATGTTGAATCATGGCATAAACTATAGATTATGATGATGATGATGATGATGATATGATGATGATGATGATGATGATGATGATGATGATGATGATGATGATGATGATGATGATGATGATGATGATGATGATGATGATGATGATGATGATTATTGATATGGACCCTGATTTGTACAAAACCGGCACCCTGAGCCAAATTGTTAAAGTATGACATAACAAGATAATAGTCTGTAGGAACACACGGTATTCTTCCGGTACATATTATCCTTACCCCGAGACAACCAGTCTTTTCTCTTACTGCTAAATACCTTGTTGTAGCAGAGAAACCACAAATATGTTTTTTAAGTGGTTGCTATTATCGGGCTGGAGATCTAAACCACTTCCTCCTACACTCGTGGCAATCGTGCTACTATGATCATGGCAGTTATATACTAAAGATGTTGTTTGATATGATATCTGTCAGTTTTAGCTTTCTTTTTTGGTTGGCTGATCTCGTATTCATACAGATTTTAGATTCATCTAGAGTGAACAAAATATTGAATGACCGTAATAAGCTATGTCGACTTCCTGCAGGTGTCTCATTGGTTCAATGTAAATTACTTATATTGTTATGATAAACGTTTACTAGCAAAACAAAGACTGTACACGGAGCGGAGCGATCTCCTGTTAATGTTAACTTTAAGTTTGATATGTTTTTTTATTTATATAACTACATGGCCTGATTTAAGCTTTACGCATTAAACAAAAAACAAGTATAGCAAACGAGACAAACTGCAACTATTGGAGACCTTTAGGGAATGATCTCTTATATCAATATTTTGATATTGAAACATTATTTGAATAAAAGCTCAATGAAACTTAACCCACACGAAGCATGTGGACCGGACAATATAAACGATATAGTACTAAAAGAATTGAAAGCGCAAGTGTCACCAATACTTTCATTAATATTCAGAAAGACATTAGAGTCAGGTGAAACACTGAAAAACTAGAAACATGCCAACGTTGCTACCGCATTTAAAAATGGGAAAAACATATAAACTTGTAAAATTATAGACCCATATCATTAACATGTATATGTTGTAAGATCATGTAATACATCATCACAAGTACCATAATGTCATAATTAGAAAACAATGACATCTTATATAATCTACAACAGGGTTTCAGAAAAAAACATCTTATGAATCACACTTAATTGACCTCATCCAAGAACTGTCATCTTGTAATAATAGTAAAATTCAAACTGACCTCATCAATATGGATTTTGCTAAAGCGTTTGAAAAAGTTCTTCACCAACGATTACTTTACAAACTTATGTATTATAGTATAAAAAAAATACATGACTACATTATCTACTGCCATAACACCAGTAGTGTTACAAATATGATGAACAACTTATAACTACCTACATTAGCCGAACCCCGCCTTAAACCACCTCTTATTATATTTTATAAAGTCCATGGCCCTATTGCCAAACCATCTGAAATTTAAATACCAACAGACAGTAGAACTAGACAAAACCACCCTAATACTTATAGACATACGTACCACATAGGAAACATATAAATGGTCATTTTTTCCACACACCATCATTCAATGAAACATGCTACCAATGGACACAGTACAGCCAACTTCAGTTGATAGCTTCAGAGCACACCTTACACAAGGTGTTCTTTGTCAACAGATTTAACCCAGATGCTTAATTTTGTAAATAATGTTAATTCTAATCACTTTTGTTTTTTTTGTATTATACATTTGTAATATAGTTTTCTTTGGCAATTACAAGAAAACTAAATTTTGGTAAATGCCACACATGTGCAACGACAACTAATCTTAAGTATCCTGAAATTTTGTTGTAAAGCTGAAGAAGAAGAAGAAATCTATTATAATATAAACGAACACGAACTTTAACTGAAGATAAGTGTACAATAGTTTGATACCTTATCAAAATGCACATAGTTTGAATAAAAAAGATGATATCATCCTAATGGTTCTGAAACACGATATGTTGAAAGCATACTAGTATATATGGTAAGATATATATACATTTAATTTGTGTTGAAAGATATCGACAGAATTACATACTAGATTTATTGAAACATAATTTTAATCTCAACAGAGGTACATTTTTTGGAATTGTAGTTATTGTTTAACAAAATGCAAATCAGAATAATCGTCAAAAATAATTTGAAATTACATTTACTAAACTAAACAATTGGGTGTGCAAATTATACTATGATGAAGGTAAATCCAGAAAGCTCTTCGGACGCATGACATTTATAGCGTGTTGCTTTCATCCTTTTAATAATATGTCTTTTATATGCTATATGATAAGGACATCTACTAGTATCTAGTATATTAGATTAATTCACTCGTACTCCATAATGAAGGATCTCGATATGGAGGATCTAGAAGGGGTTTACAGAATATCATTTAATGGTCCAAATGATTAAGAAAAGAAACATGATAATGAGGGGCTAAAATATAAAGATAGAAAATTATGAATACAAAAAATAAAGGTCTCAAAGGAATACAGAAATGAATTATTTTCTTTTCAAACCTTTATAATGTATATTGTTCAACAAAAATATAGACGAAATAAACCTCTGATATTATCAAACTGTAGCATGAATATTTGCGATATGAAACATTCGCGTAAGAATAGTAGAGTTGATTTACCTATTAAAGTAGACACAATCGTGCATCAAAAGTATGTTATACTGGACAGGAATAAATTAGATGGGACAAACAGTTGGCATAATCACAAAGGATTAAGCTAATACAGTTTCATAACCCGATATAAAACCAAGATGTACCTGAACAGATGGTACACATAGGCATACATGTTTAAGAGCGCACAATGACAGTGAACTGATTATCTACAAGTTTGGAAATAATTTTGCATTGGTAATGATAATAACCTTTTCAATGCCTTCATTGTTTTATCTGAATCTTTACATCTGAAAGATACGGGATTTCCCGTCCCTAAATTAGACCACGTTTATTGTTCTGTAATCATCATGTGAAATACAGCATAGATTAATGCATTATAGTTATATATTTCCGATGGTTTTTCAAACGAGATTGTGTTTCTCAGCTAAAATATCATCACAGGGCGATAGCCCTGAGAGATGAAATGTGCCGAAAAACATCATCCAGTTTGAAAGACCATTAATAATACGATGATCGCTATTTGGCTCATGATGTCAACGATGTTTACATCTCTTTTATCTCAAGCAAGTAACATGATATGAAAACTTATTACAAATAGTGATCGAAGGAAAAATACACAAGTAGCGATAATAGTTTGTTTTAAACATCGACACATTAAGTAACACTTTTCTATTGTAGTAAAAAGAATTCACCAAGAATACATTACTTGTACCATTGTAATAAGATAGCTTTTTTTCAGTTATTTGTATTTAAAACTACAGCTTGCTGTACATCACAAAATATTAAACACACGTTTATTTGAACATAAATTAGAGAACAGACCGGGCGAAAACGTCCGCGCTGCTGTAACCTTAGTTAAGCATCATTAAGATTAAAGGTAAGCAAATCAGTATCATACCATACGTCGGAAAAAAATGAAATAATCATCGATCTACTTCGTACTTTTTTCCACGTGGTCGATTGTTCAACAAGATCACAATCGATAAACTTCGGAACAAAAAAAACTGAAAAATAATTAGCAGCAAAAGTTTTCATTCAATGAAATATTTTTTTTTCAATTATATGTTCGTCAAGAAAATGAAACGTGCACGTTGAACTTAATTTAGTATTTATAGAAAAAAGAAGACGTGATATGAGCGCCATCGAGACTACTCTCCATCCATGTAACAATGTATAAAAAGTAAACAATTATAGGTCAGAGTACGGCCTTCAACACGGAACCTTGGCTCACAGCGAACAGCAAGCTATAAAAGGCCCCAAAATAACCAGTATGAAACAATTCAAAACAGGAAAACCAATGGTGTAATCTATATATAAAAAACGAGAAACGAGAAACACTTATGAACGACATCAATAAACAACAAACACTGAACAACAGGTTCCAGACTTAGGACAGGTGCAAACAAATGCAGCAGGTTTAATCGATTTAACAGGCTCCATCCTTCGCCCTAACCTAAAATAGTGTTGTAACATTACAACAAAGAAATACACACTATAAAATATCTATTGAAATGGCTTAACACACTCAAAAAGATATATTAACAAAAACAAGTAAATATACAATGAACGAATAAATGTGTTCTACAACATGATATGAATACAATAATAAATAAAAGGAGGAGAGGTAAAACAATGCCAAAAAGACAACTATAACCTTGGACAAAATGGCGTAAAAAATAACGTACACTGGTTAATTTAAACATAATAATTTTGTTGTTACGAGATTGGAAATATTTTTTTTACAAAATAAATAAATTTGTTGTTCATAGTACGAGAACAGAAGTGAACATTTATTGTCATACTGAATACTTATTATAGGTAGTACATACTAAAAATAGTGAGGCGAGATATAAAACAAAATAGGTAAACAACAATGCATTACAAATTGAGTCAACTGGTCAAATCAACACGAAAGTTCAATTTAATAGCACTTGCAGTTGCTGAAAACTGGTTAAAAGCCAAAAACAATTAATAATAAAAATCATGCATCAGAGACTAAAATCAACTAATACACATCCCAGGGATTTAGGTTTTAACGTCATGAACAGTCAAAGAAGACATGACTTATGCAATGCCAAAATAAAAGTATCAGGCAGTAGGATAGTTAAGATTTAACCTTATAATAGATATGTATAATGTTGTTTATAGATAAAGCAATCTCCATATGGAAAATTAAATGAACGTGGATGTGTATTTATGCATTACAAAAAACCATTCAAAAAGAATACAAATTTAGTTATGTCTGAATTTGTTGATGACAAATCGATATGTTTTGTCAATGTACACAACCGTCAAAGAACTTATTACAACATTCATGAGATAACCTTTACTTAT